AATGAGCGAGTGCAGAAAAGACAAGATGACAATGAAGACTGAGGCATAACCGACTCCCTGATTACCCCCGGGCACATTTAGCCTCTTAGGGGAACATAACTGTTCCCTAAAGTCAGCTTTCTGGAAAATTTCTGATCCACCCAAGCTCCCCAACCTGAGTGGTAGTTGTCCCTAAGCATTTCACGGTTCCAACTCTGAAAACTAACTCTGTTCTCTCTGTCCTGAGCTTCTGGAAACAGGGTCTTGTTAGTCTAGACTGAGGAGGAACAGGTTCACCATCAGTCCTCATCAGTCTGCAGCCAGGAGCCGGAGGGCGTAAGGAGGCACAGTGGGCAAAAAAGAGAAACTTGGGACTCAGGCACTTCACTTCTAAATCTCCCAGTCCCCACATCTCTAAAATGGGGAGTATAGTGTATTATTTCACAATATTGGGAGGCAGATAGTTTGAGGATTAAAAAAGAATCCTCTTAAATGGCCATCTTCTCCTTCCTGACTTGAAATAGAAGTGCCCCCTAGTGGCTGATACGCATCCTGCTCATGCTAAAACGGGCCAAATGCTCTCCCCCAGAAGACTGACTGGTGTGATTGATAAAACCAATATTTTAGTATTCCTACTGCAGTTTTTGGAAAACACCTCATTCCCTCAGTCCTGGGGGTGCAGTCCTCGTCCAGCCTTTTGCCTGTAACTGTCGCCGCCTCCTCTCTGGTTTCCTGCTACAGATCAACCATTCTACTGTACGGAGCCCAAAGCACAGCGGACAATTTCCACCAGACCAAACCCTTACCTGCTCCTCGGGAAGGTGCTGGGGTAACTGGAGTAACAGCACGAGTAACTACCAGCATCCCTGATGCTAGTTAGAACTTGGAGTGTACCCCATTCAGATTTATACAACTGGAACAGAGCTGCAAGCTCATTTAGCTTGGGCCCTGTATTTTCGGTCGAGGAAATGAAGGCTCACAGAAGGAAAAGTGACTCGGAAAGGTCACATCCAGCTAGTAGCCAGGCTGCTCACACACACACACACACACACACACACACACACACCCCAAACCCCAAGCCCCTCCTGGCCTGGGGTCAAGCCTCTTGATCAGAGTCACTCTTAGGGTCATTTTCTTTTCCTTATGCCCTCCCCAGCACTGCTGGAACAAGTTATAAAATGCATGCTCCGAGATTACGAAGCTGACCTAATTGGCTCTAGGGAGAACTTCTACACTTGCTGTAATCTTGGTGGTTTTCCTACAGAGCAACTGTTTGGCTGGCCGGAGCCTGAGAAGGCTGGTAACTTGACTCCCTTTTCAATCTGTCATCACAGTGGTGTCCACAGCCTTATTAAAATTGATGTCAGCACAACTTGACAGGGCTGGAGGAGAGGGAAGGTCACAGCGTAAGGGTAGAATCCTTGTGGTTCTGCCTCACCGTTCTCTGGTAGTAGGTAGTGTACCCCAAACAGAAATGCCAGAAATACAAAGGAGTGACTCCCTGTACTATGCTCACGTGTAAGGGAGGAATTCTGGTGATGGGGGTGGGGGACTAGCCTCTTACATAAATGTCTGCATTTCCATGAGACATGTCAGTCACTCCTGGATTCCTGTCGGAGTGAATTCTGGTAAGAGCACAAAGTTGAAAACAGGGCCACGTAGTTTCCAACCTAGATCCTTTCCCTGCTTCACCGGGTGAGCCAGCTGTTGTCCCTCTCCAGTGCCTCAGTTTCTCTATCTCTACAATAAGCAATGATTACAATGCTTTTATTATTAAAGAACAGGTAAGGGCTGGTGGAAAATGTCACAGGGACAGAGCAGTTGCTCTATCTGGGAGCAAGGTTATGTGTGGAAGAGATGCCTCTACTTACCACAAAGGACCAAGTCAGGACTAGCACATCACAGCTCCCAACCTGCTCAGATATTTTATGACTCAAACTAGAGGCCTGGTGCACGAAATTCATGTACGGGGCGGAGGGCGTATCCCTCAGCCCAGCTTGCACCCTCTTCAATCTGGGACCCCTCTCACAAGACTGCTGACCCCCAACTGCTCACCTGCCTGCCTTCCTGATTGCCCCTAACCGCTTCTACCTGCCAGCCTGATCACCCTAACTACTCCCATGCCAGCCTGATTGATGGCTAACTGCTCCCCTGCCAGTCTGTATGCCCCCCAGCTTCCCTCCTCTGCCGGCCTGGTCACCCCTAACTGCCCTCTCCTGCAGGGTTGATCACCTCCAACTGTCCTCCCTTGCAGGCCTGGTCCCTCTCAACTGCTATTCCTTGCAGGCTAGTCCCCCACAACTGCCCTCCCCTGCTGGCCATCCTCCCCTGCAGGATCTTTGTCCACACGGGGACAGCCATATTGTGTGTTGGAATGATGGCCAATCTCATTATTACTCTTTTATTAGATAGGATATTTGCTGCAAAAGCTGGAGGCAAACCAGCTCAATGAAGGTCTCCTTCAGATAGGAGACAACTCCAGAAATACGGTCTGCTCTGTGAACTCATTATCAAAAAGCTTACTGCTTCTTAATTATTTAAAAATTGCCGAAACCGGTTTGGCTCAGTGGATAGAGTGTCAGCCTGTGGACTGAAAGGTCCCGGGTTTGATTCCGGTCAAGGGCATGTTCATCGGTTGCGGGCACATCCCCAATAGGGGTTGTGCAGAAGGCAGCTGGTCGATGATTCTCTCATCGATGTTTTTAACTCTGTCGCTCTCTCTTCCTCTCTGTAAAAAAATCAATAAAATATATATTTAAAAAAAAAAAAGAATTTAAAAATTGTCTTTAATCAAGAACAGCTGAACCTCAAGGACTCCTAGAGGCCAGAGAGTCATAGGCTTCTGGGAAACCTAAATTTAAAAACATGGTAGAAATGAAAATTTGGCTTGATAATTTCCTAAACACACTTAGTGGCCATATATAGTAGGCCAACTTGACATTTTACAAAGTGAATTTGTAAGAATCCAGCTGGTGTGGCTCAGTGGTTGAGACATGACCTATGAACCCTCAAGTCAAAGTTCAATTCCTGGTTGGGGCACATGCCCTGTATGTAGGCTCTATTCCTAGGGGGCATGTAGGAGGCAGCCAATTGATTCTTTCTCATAAAGAAGTCCCAAATTACTTCAGCCTCACCTGCCATTCCTCTTTTCATTCTTTCTCCTGTCCAATCCCTACCTCCGATCATGCTCCTCCCTCTTTTCTCTATTCCTACTTCAAAATTCTACACACATTTACACGTATAGCTCAAGTATTTTCCTTCCTAGGAAACTTCTGCAATCCTAGTTGGAAGCCATCTTTCCAGCCTCTGAATTATCCTAACATTTCGTGGACTCTTGTTCTGCCCTAGTAAATATTATCCACATGGTCCTCTTCCCTGCTCTGAGCACCTAACCCAACACCCCTCCTTCTTGCCCAACCCTGGCATATGCTAGGTTCTTGGTAGATACTGAAGTTTTATAAACTTGAGAAAGTAGGGAAAATAATCATCCAAAGTTCCTTTTTCTATGTGACTTCATCTGCAAAACCTAAAAACACTTAGGCTACATAAGAAAATGCTTTATAATGAATTGGTTTGTCAAATGGCAGATAAGGCCTGTGGTTGAGTAAAATAAAAGTATCTGCTAAGCCAGAAATCAACCCAATTTTCTTCAGTTTCCTTTGCAAAGTGCAAACTCTAAAACTAGTAACTTCAATTTTAAAACAGGTATTTTGGGGGTTCCAATGATAAAAATTCCAATTTTTCTAGATATCAATTCCAACCTTTAATACTACTTTTACTCATACAATCCCCACTCATTCTAATAGCTTATAGCTAAAACAATCCTCAAATATTCCACTTGCTATTAAATTATTAGAGAACATTTCCATCTTTTGGAAAAGCTGAGCTGACCTCAGGCAGTGCCTACCTCTTGCTCTTCCACAAGGCTTCTCACATGTCATTCCTCCTTAGCATGCCTGTTTTGATAGCACACCCTCTATCCTCCTTCTCAGTCAAATCTTACATTCCAGCCTCGATGTAAAGCCCATTGTTTCCTTCAGATCTTCCTGCCAGTGAGGGCCACCGGCCATCAGTGCAGCAGGACTTCAGAAGCTACTTGGTCACACCCCTCAAATTTATAGACTGGGAGGTGACCCAGGGATCAACACCAGAAATCAGCAGAGTCAGGACTAGAACACAGGTCTCCTGGGACTCAGGGGAAGGTCTTTTCCTTAATTCAACTATTATGTGAACCCAACATTATTTTGACTTGCTTTCAGGGGCTCCTGAGCACTGCATTTCAAACATTATTTTTGTAGTCTCCTTCATTTACTTCCAGTCAGCAAAAATGAAGATTAGACTTAATTGCAAAAAGATCCTACACACGTGTGCATTTCCCTCCAATAAACACTAATATAAAAATGCCAAAGAAACCAGTTCTTCAGTGTGTTTTAAACATGAACTTACAGTTAAAGTCTAATTTAAAAATGTAAGCATACAACTAGGCTTTACCAAAGAGGAATGTGTTTATTTCACTGAAATTCTTAAAAATATTTTTTGGCAGTTGTCACATAAAATGTCCTAATGTTAAAAAAAAAAAAAAAAAAAAAAGTCATTAAAAAGAACAGAAAGGCATGAAAAAACAGACCCAAAATGTTAAGATTTTATTTACAAAGCTTCTTTGTTGTACAGAAAGTAAAAATGCTGTTACAGTCTTGGTGTAACCGGTAGCCACAGCTGGTTGACTCACCAATCACAGCTATCCACGCTACAGCAAGAGTCTTACATGAAAACCTAACAACGCTTACAATTTTGTTGGGGTGTAGCCCCAAGCTTGGTGGCGAATTTCCAAAAGGGACTAAACGGAGGAAGGCGGAATGTCACAGGAACTATTCTTTGGCTCTTTGGGTGGGTGGGTTTGTATCACAGCTACCTTTTTTTTTTTTTTTTTTTTTAAACAGCTACCAAATCCATATGATGAGCAGTCCAACCAATACTGAACAGTTCTTCTTTTTTTTTTTTTTTGCAGGTTATTTGGGCTCTTAATCATCTTCTCCTTCATCATCTGTTTCTCTCTTCCTCTTTTCACCTTTTCCGCTTTCTTCCTCCTCTGCATAATAACAAAAATTCACTTTGAGAAAGGCATTTTGCCTAAGTTATTGCTAACAAAGGTAAAAACAATGAATTGTTTGATGGTTTAGAGATGATAAAACAAGATGCCAGATTAATCTGATAGCCAGGTTGTTAATTAAGAGGTATTAATTTTAAAAAGCATAGTGACCAGAACCAAGAAGGCAAAATGCACAGCAGCATCTCATATCACAACAAAGTTAAGCCAGTTTTCTCAATTTTAAGTTGCAGTCTCGCAAATGTTTCTTATACTTGTTGGTACTTGTTGAGAGATTTGTTTATCAAGGACTTTGGAGTTAGCCTGTTTCCTTGTTTATAAAATGGGCACAATGATACTAACTTGGAGGGTTACTCTGAAGATTAATGGAGATAACAGTATTTAGCCTTAAATATGGCAAGATTCAAATTGTAGCAAGTTGATATTAACTAAAGAGATTTCTAGATGCCTCAGGTTTTTGAGACAGAGACCTAAATATCATTGTTTTCTCAACTAGTAAAAATTCATGGCTATTTCAATGAAATTAGCTAAATCTGTGTCAAAGCTTCTGGAAGCCAGAAATCAGGTCCTAAGGACTGCTCTTCTATCACTGTAAATTCCATCCAGTGCCTGACCTGGAGAGCAGATGCTAAAAAAAATGTTAAACCAATGGAAAGCACAGCAAACCACTTGGTATTCTGAAACCTAAATATGCATGAGAATCTGTGCTTTCAATGAGTAGTTCACTGGTTTTGGTTAAGGTGGAGGAGTAACACTAATAAAATTGGAAGGGTGATAAGTATATATTCTGCAAAAATTATGACCCAATTACTAAGACTTTTTCAAATGAAAGAATTCAAAAACACAGAAATCTTATGCCTGGCAATAATCTGAATGATGGGTTCTAAAAACAGTTCAAGTGTGGGGACTGAAAACTGGGCCTCCTTCCTCAGGGACACTCTTAATTGATGCTACATAGAGCAGGTGGGCTGCACCAGTGTAGACACTCTGACGGGGCTACACAAGTGCCTGTGAAGACCACCAGGACAAAGGGCATTTTTTTCTTCTCGGTGGTTGTGGCAAATTCTAAGTTAATGGGACAGCCATCCCCTACCCCGGATTTTTAGCTGAGGAGAACCAAAATGCATGCATTACACCCACCTTCATCTTCATCCTCATCCTCATCCTCATCATCTTCATCTTCATCAACTTCTCCATCATGTCCAAATTCTTCTTCCTAAAGAATAATAATGGCAATTATCATTATTAGATTAATTCTGCCAAGTTGAGAAGTACAAAAACTATAAATTTCCCAATAAATATAATCAGAAAACTTTTAAATTATTTTTATCTACTTTGATGTACTGAGATATGTTAGTTTCTCTTCCCAGCAGCACATATACTAAAATTGGAACAATAAAAATTGCCTAAATGTTGTGACTCAGTGGTGAGCAATGACCCATGAATCAAGAGGTCACTGGTTTGATTTCTGGTTAGGGCATATGTTCAGATTTTTATCTCTATTCTTCTATCTTCCTCTCTCTCTAAAAATCAATAAAAGCATACTTAAAAAAAAAAAAGTTGCTTTTCAGGAGCATTTCCTTTGCCAGACACGCTTAATTAATATACAACTTTGAATGAATAATTCAAGAAATTATGTAAAAATCTTGAATTTCAAAGCAGTTTTGGACAAAGATTTCTACATTACCATCTACTACCTAATAAAAGAATAACATGTTAATTGACCATACCTTCACAACACCCACCAGCTAATCAGGAGTAAGTATGCAAATTAACCCAACAAAGTTGGCAGGTTGATTTGCATTTGCAGGCACCTAGTGGCCAGGGGCGGGGCGGGACGCCATGGTGACAACAAAGGCATTCCGCACCACCCCAGCCGCTCCGGGGGGCTCCGGGGGGGCTCCGGGGGCTCCGGGCCTCTGGGCAGCATGCATGGGAAAGGAAGGAAAGCCCATTTTTGCATGAATCTTCGTGCATCGGGCTTCTAGTTGTTATATGTTTCCTTCAGAAACTTAACTTCATTAAACACCTATGAGATTATACAAATGCTCAGCCTTATTTCTGTACAAAAAAAGAACATCTTTTTGGTGATGTCTAAATTTCCTGGCCTGTTGTTTTCACAAACCTCCTTGAGGGTCAAAGTTAAGTCACTCCTTTCTCCTGTCTTTCTATGGCATTCAACTCCTTACAGATATTGTATTACATAGGTATTCCATTAAACTCGCCTATCTGCTCTTGCAGGGTAGGACCACATTTTTAAAAAATGTTTTTATTACTTTGGAGAGAGGGAAATATTGATGTGGTCGAGAAACACCGATCAGCTGCCTCCTTCACACCCCTGCTACTGGAGATTGAACCTACAACCTGGGCATGTGCTCTGACTAGGAATTGAACTGGTGCCTTTTTGGTACATGGGACAACGCTCAACCAGGTGAGCCACACACCCCAGGGCAGGACCACATCCCTAGTTCACTTTGCATCCCTAGCTCTTTTAATACAGGAGGCATATATTTGCTGAATTAGACTGAATATACAAGAACAAGTCAAGACTTGGTAAACATACCCTTCCTTTCAATACAACAAAGGAACAGATATACCTTCAATTCTCAATGTTTCCAGTTTTTTCACCCTACTGAATGAAAACTCAGTTTCCTCCCAAAGTTAAAGGGTTAAAACTTACTTGCAGAGCCAAGAACTGTGTCCAGTTAGAATTCCATTTAATATTTATAAAAAAGGGGTGGATTTATGAGCTAAATTAATCAGACTGATATTAGCCTATTCACACGAATATTTTCTTCAGAAGGCCTTTTTCTTTCTCTTCCTTGCCTTTCTTCTTAAAAAGGAATCTATACTTCTAATAATTTTAAATAGGAAGCAAAGTTGCACTGACCTCTCCACTGACTTCATCTTCATCCTCTTCTCCTTCTACATCTTCATCTTCATCTTCATCCTCTTCATCATCAAATTCTTCTTCCTCAGCATCCTCCTCCTTCTCATCCTCCTCATCTTCCACTTCTGAAAACAGTCCAAAAGGAACTCATTAAGTACCCTTAATGTCCTGGAGGGGAACATCTGCTAGGAGTTGAGAAATTATGGGTTAGTCCACAGGACAAATGATGGACTACACCAACATTAGGGAAAACGATGAACCAGTCACCCTTCTTGCTCCCAAGCTGGGTAGCTCAGTCCTTTAGTCCAACAGAATCCCATCACATCTGGAGGCCAGGACTCCTGGGAGACTCGATGTACACTATAACACTTGTGATACAGTGTCTGGCATTTGATTCCAAGTAAGGAAGGGGGAAGAGGGTAGGAATGTGTATGTAAAAAACATGATCAGTTATGAATCAGCAACTATTAAAGTTCGGTCATGGGAACACGAATATTTTACTATTATTTCTACCTTTGTCCATGTCTAAAATTTTCCACAGTAAAAAGTTATAAACAATTGAAACAAAACAAAAATATTCTTCTAAGGCAAGTTACCACCACAAAGCTGCCCAAATGGGGGGGCTTGGGAGATGCCCACGAATAACCCCGTGACAAGCTGGGGAGACAAGTTGTGAGGCATCTCCATACTGTGTCTCCATTTGGCGGAGGTAAGCAGCTATCTCTGTGGGTCCCAGAGCTTGCCGTGTTCTATTCTGCCTCTGAGCCTCTGAACACTCTTCCTTCTCTTCTGTTTGGCTAACATGGATTCAACCTTTGAATCTTAGTTAAGTTTCACGTGCTTGGGCAGATAGATAAGTCAGACCTCCAAATCCCAGCTCACTCTCACAAGCACCTGGTTCTTCCACACACTTTGCTCACTGTGTATTATTTAACATTTTCTTCTTAGTAGTAAACTACAAGAGGACAGAAACCATGATGTGTTTTTTCCTTTCAAAACTATTCTCCAGTGTCCAGCACATAGGAAATGCTCAAATACTTTTGCCTTGACTGAGCTTTTCTCAGGAACCCTCCATCTTCCAAAAGAATTTTCTTTACAGGCTCTTGCACAGCCTGTTTAAAATGAACCTCAATAGACAACAGGAGCACAAAGTGTTTTTAAGGATAACTAAAAACCTGTGGTGAGGGGAATAAGTGGCATAAATATTTGGAACAAGGTGAGATGTCCTATTTTGTGACATCTTACAAGCATCGCATCCATGAGTTTGACATGCTTGTCTTACACCATCCTACCTCTTTTTGCCTTATCTCAAACCTCAAACTGTATCTGCAAAATCAAACTGTAAAGATGTTTCCAGAGCATAGCACCAGTAATGGCACCAAATTGCCTGATGTTTTTCCTCCTCTGCTTTTCTTGATAATTTCTGTCTTTTGTATTATTTTAAAGAAAAGAAATATTTAAAAATAATCGTGAGTCTAAAAAACCTTGATCAAATGTCAGTGATAAAAACTATCTTCTAGCCCTGGCTGGTTTGGCTCAGAGGATCGAGCGTCGGCCTACGGAACTGAAGGGTCCCAGGTTCAATTCTGGTCTAGGGCATGTACATTGGTTGTGGGCATATACCCAGTAGGGGGCATGCAGGAGGCAGCTGATCAATGTTTCTCTCTCATCAATGTTTCTAACTCTCTGTCCCTCTTCCTTCCTCTCTGTAAAAAAAAAAAAAAAAAAAAAAAAAAAAAATCAATAAAAAATATATTTTAAAAAACCTCTTCTAATTCCATATTATAGCCAGAGATTATTTCTCTAATTAATGAGAAATGGAACCTAACACACAGTACTTTGAAATTATCATCTTCTTCGACCCTAACAATATGTTATAGGCAGGAAACCAATTTTATTTATATTTGGGTATAACGAACATGTACCAACTATCTATTAAGTATTGGGTCCTTTGAATAAAGAAAAAATCCCCGACCCAAGAAAATAATCATAGCATAGTTGGAAGGGACAAGAATAGCAGAGAGAAAGGTGCTACGAAAGAAGGGGATGTTCTAGCATGTTCACAAATCTACTATCTCCAGGGTATCAGGAAAGTCTTCCTGGAAGTGTTAACAAAGACGAGTTTTGTAAGGATAAGTAAGCAGTAATCAAAACGGGAACAGCTAGGAGGAAGACAGGAGACATGAAATGATGATCTCTTTAGTAAACTGTAAATCACAAGTACTTCAATGGGATAGAGCAGTCTATGATCTCTAGGCTCAAATTCAGGACATTAGCTAACAAATCATTTTTATTTGGAATCATTTAAAGGCTTCAATGTCCTAAGCACTTATTAAAATGAATAATAAGTTTTAACTCCAAATTTAATGGAATGCCTACATAAATGCATATAATAAATTATTTTTCTCAACAGCAAGAACATTCAGCAGCTTTATCAGGACCGTTGAAAACAGAAATTAGATTCACGGATATAATGTCTAATCACCTTCATCATCCTCTTCTTCATCCACGCCGTCCACCTCGGCATCTGAGTCAGAAGCTTCTCGATCCTCTCGGTCATAGCCATCCAGGTAGGTCAGCTGGGGCAAGAGCTTGAAGACACTCTCTCGGTAGTCATTCAGGTTGGTAACCTCACAGTTAAACAGATCCAGGCTTTTCAGACATTCCAACTTTTTCTGAAGGATTACAAAACACACTTCCTAAACCAAAGGAACCTAAGCAACAAAACCCATCTCCTAAGAGGTAAAAATTCTATTATAGGCCATATTTAATAGCTACTACCCACTCAACCTTGAAAAACATTTCAACTCCTTTGCAATCTTTATATTAGAGGCCACTAGATTTGTACCTAGTTCTTTCGTTCTCAAAGAACTGTCTTTTTCTGGCAGCATTAGTCTTTATATGAATTGGAAAAAGTTATTAAAACTGGATCTTCTTACAGTACAAGACAAATCAGAGCATTTGATAAATTTGGTTCAAAACTAAGTTCAAATATTTGAATAATCAAATGCCCACTAAGAACTTGCTGGGTAGCAATCAGTCTTTAAAGCTCTGGGGCAGTAGTACAGAAAACTCATCCAACCCCTCAAATCAATCTCAACGTGCTTGAGATTTCTATTTGGGAACACAGATGTGAAATACTAGAGAACAGAATATAAAAAAGCACAAAATTTAATGATGCAGACATTTTCTGGAAAGACACGAATCATTACAGGCCAGGGAAAGGGAGTTTAAACTTCAGAAACAAGAAACATTACACTCTTTTTTTCTTTTTGAATTTTTTGGGAAATGATTGACACTGTTACCAGACTTTTTCCATGTAAATTCTTTCGGTGTTATCATACCTTTAAACTTTGTTGAATACCTCATTTATCTGGAACTTTTAATTTCACTTATCTAAAATAGTTAAGGTGTAAAAACTTGGCCCAAGAAAAGTTTTCTAAGCAATCAAAGTGGATAGGAAAACTTCCAGGTATTTTACTCAGATCTTCATCTGTTATGACATCATTGCATTAGTACTTCAACCCCACATCTATCAAGTTTTGATTAAGGGTTAAGAGGTTGGGAGGACAGAGATATTATTACAGGCAAGTTAGCACCAGGAGTGACAGCAAACCCTCTTAGGGAAAAGAGAGGGGGCAAGCTTATAAAAAGCAAACATAAACATGAAGCCTCGTGCCTTTTAGAATGGGGGCAATAAGCCCAGAAGGGCATACGCTATATAGCTTCATAAATTTAACTTTTAATGGTTCTGAATCAAGAGAAAAGGCTTGAAAAAGAAATATATATATATATATATATATATTTGGTTAATCCTCTCCTGAGGATATTTTTCCATTGATTTTTAAGAGAGTGGAAGGGAGGGTGAAAGAAGTTGCAAAAAAATAAATGTTGATGTTTAAAGTCTTTGATGCTTTATTTGGGAAAGCTATTTCAACATTCACAGGACCTAGAAAGAAATGCAGATTAAACAAAACCTTGTCTTCAGGACTTGAGGTGTCTGTGTAATTCTAGGGAGTCACAAAATGACTAGAAAAATCTTCGCTCTAAAGCGGGGCTTGGCAAAATTGTCTGCTGGCCCATTAAACCCAGGGCCTGTTTTTGTAAAACAAGTTTTATTCAAACAGAGCCACACTCATTTGTTTATATAATACATTACGTATGGTTTCTTTTGTGCTACCATGGGGATGCTGAGTAATTGTGACAGAGACTGTATGGCTGACAAAGCCTAAATGATCTATTATTGGGCCCTTTAGCAAAAAGTGTTGCTGACTGCTGCCCTTACAGAATCTTCATCTTCCTGGTCAAAGATGAGGTTCCCACACTTACTTTACTCTCACTGAGCAGCTCTTGGGAACATAGAGCCAGACAGGGAACACAGAGTAGGGTTACAGCAACAGGAAACGGTACTCCTCAAAACACCAATGTCTGATGATCCAAGGGTTTGAGAATCACATAATGTGCTTATGTAAGCCAGTCCCCTGAGGTCTCAAGAAAGCTGTCCCCAGCCGTTCTTAGAGCTGCTTTTATGTCATGCAGCTTTCAGATTAGGTTCCCCACTGGGCAGGCCCTGGTCTCCAGAAGCCCAGGTATGAATTCTTGCCAAGGAGAAAAAAAAAATGTTGAAATGCCACCCCAGACAACTAGATAGCGTACTGGGAACTCTTTTTTTCTTCACAAAACAATTGACTCTATACCAGCTAGGATACAACCAGTAAATTTAGGCAGCTTTCCCAAAGAGGGTCAGTCTAAAAATTCATCAAAGGAATGAGCAATGTACTCCTCAAATGTGTTCCCTAGAAAAAGATACACAAAAATGCATACAACCCCTGATCTTTAATGCTCTACAGTGCCCAAGCCTTTTCTCTAGTTTTATCAACTATGAATCTGTGATATTTTTGGCTATTTCTTGAGAAAGGACCCATTATAATTCTGACATGCCAGAAACTAAGTGAAAGAAAGTAAACAACAAACTCACAAATAACCATAGTACCCTAGAAATGTTTCAAGTAGTAAAATTACACTTTAAGATCCCAAATACACTCACTACAGATTATTCAGGATCCCAATGTAATGTTTAAGTACTGCTAAAAAAAAAAAAAAAAAAAAAAGTCACAAAATTTTATCATAGCATAAATTTGGCCTAATACTAAAAGGCTAGCCATAATAAACATTAAACATTTTATTAACAATAATTTTGCTTGCCTTCTTAGAATTTAGAAGGGCTTTTGGGGATGGTTTGGATGGCTCAGGTCTCTTAAAAAACGTGTCCAAGGAAGTTTGAAATGATGCCTTCTTTGTCTCTTGATTAATGTCCCTGTAGCAAGCAGAGGCATTCACAATCATTGCATTGACTGTAAGAACTGGGCTCAATGTAGACGGTGTTCAAATGTTATGTGGTTAATGAGGATGAGGATGGTGTTCTTCCCCACTGAAGAATATTATCAGAAGTAAAATTGATCAACATTTCCCCTTTCACCTTCTGCTACAGTTATATTTTTTTTTCTAAGTTCTAACTTCAGGAGACCCATCTAGCACCCCTAGGGATCTGAGAAGCAAGTTCAGGGAAGGGCAGGAGCCCAGGCTTTTCCAGAAAGTCCTGGGTGTGCAGCACTGCAGCTCTCACTGGCCAGCCAAGTGTGTGACTCTGGACAAGGGATCCAGCCTCTCCCAAGCCTCAGCTTCCTCTTCTGTAAAATGAGGGCCATGCTACTTCTATCCACTTTGTAGAGATGTTCTTTGAAGATTACTAATGAGGTAACATACGTAAAGCATCCACTATAGTGTATGGTACGTAACAGGTCCTCTAAAAATGATAAAACAATGATTATTTCTCATTCTTTACTATCCCAGGGAACTGAGACTTTCAGAGCCACCAAAGGGCCCTCATAGTATCTGACCAGGTCAGGACATCCGAGCAAACAGCTACCACACACAACGTTTGCTTCTGCTCTGCCTCTGTATGCTAGAGCACTGACAAAGGCTCCTGATGAAACATTTAAGAGGACCCAGGTTCTTATAAGAATTAGGCAATAGTCAATGATCCAGCATGGGAAGATACTACCTGGCATTCTGTTCCAGAAAAAAAAAAAAAGGATTCCTATGTTCACAGGGACCCTGGATTGATAGGCCTATCATTAACACAAAGATTTAATGTAGGTGTCTGACTCGGAGAATTTTGTGCTCCTGTTAAACTTGATTTTCTCTACGGTCATTCTCTTTTGTGGCTTATGAGGCTACACTGGGCCGAAGTTAATGTCTTTGAATTCAGCAAAACTCAGTGTTTGTTTAAACATTGGAAATGTGGATCGGCTTGGAGAAAAAACTTAGAACCAGTAAAAATTAGGAAGCCTGAGTGTCCAGGTGTACCCATCTACAGTAGAAAAGAGAAGCAAAATACACGGAGCAAAGGTAGGAAATAGGCTCCCAACATTTATGAAAAATATGAGTTAGACATAGTTCACTTAATGAAACATACACAGAAAGTGACTCAGTAGAAGATTCTTAAGTCTACATTGGACAGCACCTCTATTAATTAGGAGAGAAAGACCCTATAATCCTGACAGGAAACCCTCTTTATTTAAAGAAGTCATAATTTAACCTTATCTTCCCTTGAAATGTTAATAGACCATCCTATACAACTAATATGAAATCCAAGTATTATAAATATACTGTGACATCAGAAAAGACGGATAGCAGAGGATGGCTTATCCTCTTGGGTTCTGTTCTTCTGCATCCTGATAAGACAATTCCTACCTACTATGTAACTCTCTCCCGTTAATGTTTGCAAGTTAATGGAAACACTGACTTTACGTACACCAAGTTAGCCTCATTAAAATGGAATTCTCCCTGTATGCCAAATTTATGGAATGCCACGTTTAGGTAAAATAGTCATTTATTAATCTTGAATTCTCAGAAATTTGCAGGTGCCAGCCAAAAGAGGAGCCTGGGGGGTTCCCCCACACCCTGCAGTAAGCCCTGCTATACAAGCTCTTTTATGGCCACAACTTCCACATGGGCTGGACCCATTAGCACAGCTCTCCAACTAACAAAGCAAAGTTAAGTGCATTGTCATTTTATTTCCAGAACTCCTAAGTGAGGAAACGGAGGCCCAGAGAAAAGAAGCGATTTGCCCAAGGTCACACATTAAGTCTGTAACTTGTGACACTTAAACTTAACTTTCCATGGCTTAACCCAATATGAAAGCCTGAAGAGGATTTGGGGTTCCCATGAAAAACTTTGGGCAACAGTGATCCAGCTAGCGCCCAAGATCCTGAATTAGAAGATCTAAAACTTATTGGAACTGTCCTTGGACTTCTGTTCCATCTGAAATTCAGATATGCCACCCAATATAAACAGTTTTTTCTAGCCAATCTGAGGGGGGGAAGGGGGGAATAAATGTTTAATTTCATAAACACATGAAATTTTAAAAGGAAAAAAAAAAAGAATTCCCCTTTGAAGAAAGCCACCACAGTATCTGGTAACCCGATTATTTCCAATCATTTCCCTTACTATAAAGAAATATGAAAATGAAAATGACCAGTAAGTCTTGGTTTCCAAATTCTTAATTACTTACCAAAGGTTCCAAGGTACTGATATCTTTCAGTTTATTTCCACTTAAATTTAGGTGTGTGAGATTTGGAAGTTTTTCTGCCAACATGTCCAAACATCCAGAGATTCTATTGTCACTGAGCTCAAGCTGTGAGAGAAAATGCACACAGGACAAACACAAATATATGGAGAAACACTTATCATTAAGGTGTTCTAAAGAGCAAATACAGTTCTTAAATACTTACCAAGACCAACCAATCTCTGTTTTTATCAGTACTTGTATATTCATTTTGTTTGATTAAACCCAAATAAGTAGTTTATGGATTCCAGCAACATTTTGGGGGAGGAAAGACAGCATATGATAAGAAGTGTTGTGTTTTCTTAACCAGATGCTAATTATACAGCTTGTTCAAGAACTGGTCCCTAACAGCAGTGAATACATTTTCTAACCTAAAAAGTGGGTCACAGCAAATTAGAATTCTTTAAGAAATTGTAATATACTATCCTTGCCAGTAAGGGAAACTGGTCCGCGCATTTTAAGCAGTTTACTGTGTGTGCCAAGCAAAGCTTGCGGTGCCCACTTGGAACCTATGTGGTCCTGTGCAGCTCTGGCACACTGTGGAATTCTACATCTGGAATTTGCTCTGAAGGCTAGAGGAGTACAAGCCTCAAAACACACCCTTAAAGAAGTTCCATGTTCTCAGGAAAGGGAGTGAGGCAACAGCTTCGGGGCTGATACAACCAACTCCCTGGAGGCATAAACCTGGCCTTTCCCAGAACCTACTCTAATTTCTTAGCTGCAGGTCAAGTAACACAGCTAACGGTGTGCCAATAAAGGAAATGAGCTTCTGCAAGAAATAACAGAGTGAAAGATATTGGAGCATGGAAAGAGCATCTAATTCAAATTCTTCATCTTGCAGATGAGAAAACTTAGACCATATAGCTGGTATCAATCTGCTTTTTAAATGCCAACAACGGTAATTATATCAACTCTTACTTAGTACTTACGTGTCAGATACTAAAGAAAGCACTAGAAATACTATATGATCACTTGATCTCACAATAAACCAATGGGATAGGTAGAATTATTACCCCCACTGACAAAGAAAATGAAATACAGAGACAGTGAAATATGCCAAAAAGCTCACAGCTGTTACAGTGGTAAACCTATGATTTGAAGCTGGACAGGCTAGTTTCAGAAGAACCCATGCCCTCTGCACTATGCTGCGTACCTTTAACAGCATGAAAACATCATGTAATTTCATCTACAGCATGCAATGAAATAATAATGAGCAGAATAGAGGAACTTTTAAATTTAAATAGTTGTTGAAAGAATGAGTTTAAAAAACAGTTCAAGCCCAACTAGTGTGGCTCAGTGGTTAAGCATCAACCTATGAACCAAGAGGTCACAGTTTGATTCCCAATCAGGGCATATGCCCAGGTTTTGGCCTCAATCCCCAGTGAGGGGCATGCAGGAGGCAGCCAATCAATGATTCTCCCTCATCATGTTTCTATGTCTCTTTCTCACTCTCCCTTCTCCAAAATCAATGCAAGTGTGTGTGTGTGTGTTTGTATAGACAGATATAGATATTAAAAATATAAGTCTATAATCAACAAAGCCAAGTGTTACTTTTATTGAGATATTAGTAAATAAAAAAATAAAAAGAGAACACTTATTTTTGTTGGTCAGAATATCAATACATATGTAATACATCCTTTCAACAAGAATATCTTAAGAGAGCAGAAATAACAAGGTAATCCCGCCAGAGGACTTAATTGCATATTTATTTTGAAATAAAAGCAATGTGTAAATTTAGGAAACCTGTGATATTTATACACCAAATTTCTTTCAGATCCTGTTTCGTTATAAAACAAGCATTCTAGGGTAGGAAGAAAACTAAGTCCACATCAACTGTAAGAACATCTATCTGCCTTTGATAGATGTCTCCATTCCTCCCTCACTGATTCTGCAAGTAACAAATTAAAATAAGATTTAAAAAAAAGGATTTGATAAAGCCTATATATAGATGGTCACTGATACATTTACTTTCTAAGTCTGATAGTATACTGACCATAATTATTCAAGAAAATGTATCAGGGTACTAGGAAAATAGAACACAAAACACATACTACTAGGTTCTGTTAGCATCAAGTTTATGTAGATAGATAAAAGCAGGCACCCTGAAACCCATGAGAAGTACCTGAGCATTTATTACCTAAATAAAGCAAATAAGTAAAAAGCATTTCTTGTTTTAATTCATGTACTAAAACAACAACAAAAAAACAATCCCTCCCTCAGGACTCAAAAGCAAACTACAGGAACAGCCTACCTTTGTTTAAATTTGATTACAAATTTCTTTCTATGTGTATCTTTGTTTAGACAGTTTAAAATTAATTCCCTAATAAAGTGAATACCTAAATATAATCACATACCTTTCTGTATGCAAAATAAATAAATAAATAAATAAATAAATAAATAAATAAATAAAAGGTACTGTGTTAGGAAATAGGAGATATGGATTCTAGTTTTGGCTCTAGCATGAACCACTTTTGTGGGAGGCTTTAGGCAAATTACTCTATCTTTCTAAAATTACTGATGTGTCTATAAAATAAGGGGCTAGGCTGGAAGATCAAAGTTTCTTCCAGTTTTGACATTCTGGAGCTCTGTGATAGATAAATATGGTTTTTTAAAGTAGAATGTGGATTTGGAGGGCAATAGTGATTTGCAATTAGACCAATGAAGAGCTAACAGATCATCAGCTAGGATACAGAAATACAGAAACTTTGTTAAAATGGATTCTTGCAGTAAGTCACAGCACATCTTAACATTTTAGTCATTAAAATTATGTAATGGGTTTGATTTATCAAAGACTATAAATCTGAAAAGTATTTACTAATTAAACTCATCCTTAATCAACAAACAAAAAACATGAGTGACAGGCACCTGTTTCCTAAACCAGAGCATACTAAGAACAAAATGTATTTAAGATTATAGCAACAAATTTATAATTAATATTTATTTAGCATCCAACATGTATTATTTCCAAACACCATAATTCTGTAAGGTCAGGTGGTATCACCAGTTTACAGGTGAGGAAATTGAGCCTTACAAGGATTAAGTAACCTGCAGATCACCCATCAAGGAAAAGATAGAACTGGAATTCAATCCCAGATATGCCTAGTACCAAAGGCTATGTGCTTTCTGCTACATTAATTGCTTCCTTCCAGGTAAAACATGTATTTTTCCCTTCCCAGTATGATTCTTTTTACTGTTAAAGAAAAAGCACTCACCTTTTTCAATTTTGGTAGTTTGGGGAGATTTGAAACTGAAATCAAGTTTACATTTATTAAACTGAGGAACTCTAAGTTCACAAATTCAGCTGTTAAGCCCTCAATTTTTCCATCATCTGATTTGCAATTGTCCAGGACAAGTTCTCGAACCTATAGATGACAAAGGAAAAAAAGAAAAAGATAAGCTTTCAGAAACACATAGAAAAAACAAACAAACAAACAAACAAAAAACAACTTCTACCATAAATACCCAGCAAAAACACCCACTGATAGGGGCAGCCTTTAGATCAGTTATAAATAAATGAAAAATGATTAAGCCTTTAGTAACAATATACTAATAGATACCAAGGGTGGAATGTTACACCACGCATAAAGATGTGAACTCTTTCTTTTCCAGAGACAGAAACTACACTTCATAAGATATAAGTGAAGAAACTGTATCTCCCCTATTTCTTTCCAAGTCTGTTCCCTTAGGGTAAGCTTTACCTACAAATGCAGAGTGAAGATACCCCGCACGCTCTTTTAGGCTGAGTCTATCTCAGGGCCCAAGAGACTGGCACAAGGAAAATAGGGAAGTCTTACTTTTCTTATAAAGATCATTAAGAGATGTTTGTTGGCAGCACTCTACATTTCCACTTGTGGTATTATTAATCTTTACTGAGATTATCTTGACACTTGGAATGGGTCAAGATGCAAAAGGCCTTAATTCAAAATAAAGATCAATTTAGTTATATGTGAGAATGAAGGCAAGAGATTGATAGACATTAAATTAAGTTCCTTTTTCAGACATAAAATCTCCTTCTTTGGAGATCCTGAAATTCAGAATTCAAATTCATCTAAGGGTATCACATCTGAAGATTCTTGAATACTGATTTAATAACAGTCTACTGTGTGAATACTATAATAATCCTTATTGCCATTCTTGCTCTGTGGTTGACTCTGAAACTTGCAATTTTTAACACGTTCTGATCAATTTACAGTGATGCAAATTATTTTTAACTGCCAAAGGCATTCTTGCAGTGAATCTACCAAGTTTAATAACATTAATCAAGCATGTATATGGGAGATGCTGATAGCTTTAAAATGAGGATAGGAGCTAGTGATATCTTTATCCTCCCATACAGAATCCAAGGATCCTACTCTATTAATTGCTATCATTTATCGAGACGGTACTTGTTATTCCTGACACCACCACATCATTCCCCATTTACAGAGAAGGAAACAAATTTATGGAGTCTGTGATACCCACACCACCACCACTTCTCCCTTGCTTCTCCATTATTTCTCACCGCCCTATTTCCTCCTCAAAAGCCCTGGGTTCAGTCAGGATGCATGCAGTCCTATTATACCGTTTTCCTTCCTTCTACTTTCCTCTAGACATCTCTGCCATTCTTCCTTCTTCTAATGAAAATTAGCACATGTGAAAACCTAAGAGGTCAACTGAGGAGAGCTGGGCTATGGATACAGATGCCTGGCTCTGCCACTTACAACCTGTGTGACCTTGGGCAAGCCACTTAACCTCTCTGTGCCTCAGTTTCCTCATCTATGAAGTGGAAAAAATATTACATACCTCATGGAGCTGTTGTAGTGCAGTGCTTGGGACATAGTAAACTCCCAGGAAAGGAACTAGGGGAATGCTGTCTACTTTATTCATTATCTAGATGAAGGTTTTTGTTGTTTTTGGGTTTTTTTTTACTAGCAGTTATTCCTTTTGTATTAAACACACACACACAAACACACTCACTCACTCCCTACCCTAGCCAGTTGCTCAGGGGTTAGAACGCAGACCAAAAGGTCAAAGGTTTGATTCCTGGTCAAGGGCAGGTACCTGGTTGCAGGCTCAATGGGCCCTGATTGGGGTATGTGCGGGAGGCAACCTGTTGATGTTTCTCTCACATCAATGTTTCCTGTTATCTCCTTCCCCCTCCCTTCCATTCTCATTAGAAAAAAAATCAATGGAAAAAATATTCTTGGATGAGGATTAACAAAAAGCAACAACAAAAAACCCAAAATATAATAAAAGGTTGTTATTGCCACCACCCACTTAGAAGTATACTACCATGCTACTAAAATGGGTCCATTTGGTTTAGGGAATTTTCTATGACTGAACCTGACAGAGAATCCAAATGATAATACAGAATGAAATTACCCCAATATGCCCAAAGCCAAGTAAAGAGGATTTAGCCATATTCAATCTTAAGCCATTTTGCCTCCCAGCTTACTGGGTGAAGTCACCTTTTATTTTTTAAAAAAATATATTTCATTGATTTTTTTAGAGAGAGGAAGGGAGGATAGTGAATCAGGTACCTCCTGCACACGCCCTACTGGGGATGAGCCTGCAACCAGTGTACATGCCCTTGACAGGAATCAAACCTAGGACCCTTCATCCCGCAGGCCAATGCTCGCTCTATCCACTGAGCCAAACCAGTTAGGGCAAAATCACCTTTTAGATAATTTCTCTCAACTAATGAAATTCCACTTTAACTAGACTTATAAAAAAAACTACTATAAAGCGCCCTAGCTGCTTTGGCTTGGTGGATAGAGCCTCGGCCTGAGGACTGAAGGGTCCAGGGTTCAATTCTGGTCAAGGGCACATGCCTGAGTTGTGGGCTCAATCCCCAGTGAGGGCTGGGAGACGTGGGTGGAGGAGGCATGAGGACAGGAGCTAGTGATAGCCGATTGATGATTCTCTCTCACCATTGATGTTTCTAACTCTTTTTCTCTCTCTCCTCCTCCTCTCTGAAATCAATAAAAATATATATATTTTAAAACTACCATAAAGCTTTTAAATGTGAGTGTACAGGTTTACTGAATCAAATTGCAGAATAGAAATCAAAGAGGGAAAAAAATGTTCAAGTGTTTCTTATTAAAAATTATTTGTTCTTGATTTTTTTAGAGAGGAAGGGGGAGAAACATAGATTTGGTCATTTATTTATGCATACATTGGTTATGCATTCTTGTTATGTGCCCTGATGAGGATCAAACCCACAAACTCTGGTGAGTCTGGATGATGTTCTATCCAACAAAGCTACCCATCCTAGTCTGTTAAAGTGAGTTCTAATTTGCAGGCTTAGCTACTGAGTAGAGCTGATGGAGCAGAACTGAGGTTCTGGTTTAGAGAAATGGGTACCATGTAGCTTGATGGAAATAGAAAGGAGCAGCTTGTTGAGGGAGGTGTATAAGGAGTAACAAAAGGGATAAAAAGTTTAAGTTCCTATGGGATCCCTAGGGAACTGGACATGTGGTACAGAGTTCAGGGGAAGTCTGGATTATAAATTCCATATTTGTGAGTCACCAGAATGGACAGTAGGAAGAGGCTGGAACTCTTAGGAAAAGGACTGAGGATGGAGCCCTGAGAGACGGAATCTTGCAAAGCAGACTTGAGAAGAATCAGAAGATACCCAAAAATGAAACATTAGGTTGAAACACTAAGAAAGGCTTATAAAAGAAGGCACAAGAAGTGATTGAAAAAAATTAGAAACTTAAATGCCCTTAACAAGGAAATAATTTCCAGGATACACTATGGTATGAAAAATGTACAGAATGTGCCGAAACCGGTTTGGCTCAGTGGTAGAGCGTCGGTCTGCGGACTGAAGGGTCCCGGGTTCGATTCCGGTCAGGGGCATGAATGTTGGCTGCGGGCACATCCCCGGTGGGGGGATGTGCAGGAGGTGGCTGGTCAATGTTTCTCTCTCATAGATGTTTCTGGCTCTCTGTCTCTCTCCCTTCCTCTCTGTGAAAAATCAATAAAATATATTTTTTTTTAAAAAAGAAAAATGTACATAATGTATTGTGTATGTAATATATCACACATTCACTTTCTTATCTATAAAAGCCCAGGTACTGAATGGAGGAAAGACCAGTTGCTATGATGTGCACTGACCACCAGGGGGCAGATGGTCAATGCAGAAGCTGCCCCCTGGTGGTCAGTGCGCTGCCACAGTGGGAGAGCCACTCAGCTGACTGGGATGAGTGGCACTCCAACAGTGGGCTGATCCCTGCAGGTCGTGCCCCCAATCAGTGCATGAATCCATGCAACAGGCCTCTAGTCCTATATAATAAAAGCATAATATGCAAATTGACTGGATGGTGGGATAACCAGTTGTAGGGGAGCGGGCCGGTGAGCAGGCAGTGCCAGACCTGCCAAGGCAAGTGCCAGTGGGCAGAGGGAGTGGACGGCAATGGGGGGGAGGGTAGGTGGCAGCAACCAGTGGAAATGGAGGGGTCATGGGGGTGGGGGCCACCTGGTCACCTCCTGCAGAGGGAGGCTGGCCGCAGCAGCAGCAGCAGCAGCGTAATTGGGGCAGCACTATTCCCTGATCAGCTGTCCCATCGCCTCCCAGAGGGAGGAACTGCAGCTTAGGCCTGTTCCCCGGGCAGAGCAGGCCTAATGCACCAGGCCTCTGGTATGTACTTAAAATCTCACAGAAATAATCTCTCAGAGAAAGTAGCTGGGAGACTTTTCTCTAAAACCTTATTTTGTACTTCATTGATGAGAATGTTAACCTATTTTTAAAAAATAAAGGTAAAAAAGTCACTGCTAGTATTTTAAAGTACCGCACAGGGGTTTGTGTAAAGATTATAGGGGACTGAGCAAATGATTGAATGAGAGAAAACTTGGATCTAAACATAATCAACTTTCTGATCATAAACATACATTAATGGAAAGCATATTAATGTTCATTACTATTGATATTTTGGTGGGTTTTTTTTTGTCTTTGTGTATTTTAAATATAGGCAAGATAAAACTGTATGACTTAGCATACTTTGAAATAACAACTCTGCTCTGGCTAGGTAGTTCAGTTGGTGTCATCTCAAAATGCCAAGGTTGTAGGTTCAATCCCTGGTCAGGATACATACAAGGATCAACCAATGAGTGCATAAATAAATGGAACAACAAATCAATGTTTCTCTCTAAAATCAATGTAAAAAAACTACAACTCGAAATATCTGTTAACAACTAAATAAATTAAAGTGTATGGATGTACCATAAACTACAATCCTCCTTTAAGAACACAGTTCCAATCTTCCCTATTATAAAAAATGCCATATCTTATGTAAAATCTCTTCTGTAATTAGGATTGTTTCCTTAAAAGCTATTGCGATGCAAAAGAATATAAACATTTGACAATATTATTGAGTTATGAATT